ACTAATATGAACCCCTCCTTGGCCCTGTTTATTTAATAGAGTGATATATATATGTCCTAAATACTGGTATGATATCAGCCTGGAGGTTCTCAGCTTGGTAAACTAAACAGATATGCCAGCTAGGCAACTCTAAGAGGCAATTATGATTCATCTAGTTAAAACACAAAAGGGGAAACACCAGAGTTGAGAAATAAAGTTTCAAAAACCCATCTAAGTATGTCCCAATCTTCAACAATGTGAGCAATATCCAGAATAATATTAAATTTTGTTTTTCCCCTACTAGGTTCTTTAGTATTATGCTAGCTACATAGTATGCTAATCCATTCTTTAGTATTATGAATATGTTCTATTATATTTTGTCCAATGATTGCCACTCATTTTCCCTCTACTATAGGGGAATAAAATGGGGCCTTTGAATTATAATAAGAACCACTAAAAAAAAATCTTAAAAGAAAAATAATTAAACATAACTTAAAAGAGTAGCAACTTAAAGCTGCAATAAGTATTTAAAATTTATAATTGTGAGAATTCTACTTTTTCTACTACTATCATCACTTGACTCTAATGGTCCCTTTCTTGCCATCTCTTCTCAATGAGATTTGAAGAGTCTAGTACTTTCTTCACTCTCTGAAAATAAGCCTTTCCCATTATTCTCTCAACTTTTTATGTTGAACATTTCAAGCCTCCAGAAAAACTGAACTAGTACAATGAACATCTGTATGGCCTTAGATTCACCATTTGTTAACACTTGGCCATACTTGTTTTCTGCCTGTCTCTGTTTTTATCGGAACCATTTGAAAGTTAGTTGCGACACATCACAAAATCACTTCTAAATGTTTCAGCATGCATCTCCTAAGAAAAAGGACATTATTATATAGTACATTAAGCATCATTATCATACCTATTAAAATTGATGATTTCCTAGTCTTATCTAATATCCAGTCCATAAATTTCCCTAACTGTCCCCCAAAAAGGTCATATTGCTTTTTTAGAAAATCTAGGAGCCAACCAATGTGTCACACATCAGGTGTGTCTCTTTGGTGTACTTAAACCTAGAACAGATTCTGGCTTTTTTCTTTCTTTTATGACACTGACATATTTAAAGCAGGACCCCTCCACATTTTCAAATTTATCTCTGCTTCTATCCTCACCTTTTTCAATTTCTACTGTTTAAGAAATAATAATCCTTCCTATCCAGATTTCCAATGCACACACTCTCCCTTCCTTTGGAACCAAGCTCCTAAAAAAACACCACTCCAACTTCCTATTTCTCAGGTCTCCATTCACTTATTCGCTGGTTGAAATCATATTTCTGTCCCACTGCTTTCACCAAGGTCACCAATGGTTTCTACATGCCGAGTCCAAAGGACGTTTTCTCAGCTATCAGCTTCCCTGACCTCTCTGCAGCGGCTGCCGTGGCTACCCATTATCTCTCCATCAAGTGCTCTCAAACTCTGTCATGATTCTCTGGTTCTTGTCCCAGAGTCTATGTCCCTGGATGTTGGTATTCATCACAATTGTCCTTGACCTTCTCATTCCCTCCCTGGCTTTAACAACCAGCTAGCTATTAGTGAGCCCCAAATCTCTTCCCTAGTCTAGAACTCTCCCCTGAACTCAAGACCCAACTTCCCACAGTCCCCTATATGTAATGTGTTGATAACTGACTCACTATTTTCCCCCAGTAACTGATTTCTCCTACTACATTCCGTTTCTTATAAGGGAAACACCAGTTCTCCAAATTTAAAACCTCTGCTCCTCCTTCCTCATCTCCACCAATGAATCAATCACTAAATCCTCAATTCTACATCCTGTATAGTTCTCCCATTCATCATCTCCTCTTTAGCTCTATACACTAATGCCCTAAACGTCTCTCCCACAGACAATCACAAAGATGTATTTAATCTCTACACTTTCAGCTCACCTCCTCTTCACTGATCCATCCCCCTCTCTCCACAAGTTACTTTCCTGAAACACAAATTGGCTCACATTACTCATCTATTTAAAATTCCTCCCTTGACTCCCGATGCCCTGCTGGGGAACAATTCAGCATGGTGATTAAGAATACAGGCACTGGCCCGGCTGGAGTGGCTCAGTGGTTGATTGACAACCTATGAACCAGGAGGTCAGAGTTGGATTCCCAGTCAGGGCACATGCCCAGGTTTCAGGCTCAATCCCTTGTAGGAGGCATGCAGGAAGCAGCCGATTGATGAAGCGTCTCTCGCATCGATGTTTCTCTCTCTCTCTCCCTCTCCCTTCCTCTTTCTCTAAAAATCAACTTTTTAAAAAAAGGGTTAAAAAGCATGGCAGGGCAGTTGTGTGTGATCAGGTCAGTAGGGGAGGGCAGTTTGGGGTGACCGGGTTGTCAGGAGAAGGCAGTTGGGGGTGACCAGGCTGTCAGGGGAGAGCAGTTAGGCATCGATCAGGCTGGCAGGGAAGTGGTTAGGGGGTGATCAGGCTGGCAGGCAGAAGCGGTTAGGGGCAATCCGGCAGGCAGGCAGGCGAGCAGTTGGGAGCCAGCAGTCCTGGATTGTGAGAGGGATCTCAGGTTGGAGAGGGTGAAGGCTGGGCTGAGGGACACCCCCGCCCTCCCCCCATGCACGAATTTCATGCACCAGGCCTCTAGTCATAAGATAAAGTCCCTATTACTTAGCATGGCTCTTTATGATCTGGTCATTCTACCTATTCAGTCTCATTTCCCATTCCTTCCTCACATTCTTCACTAACACATTTCAGATCTTTTTGCTTTTGTACACTTAATTCCCTCTGCCCACAAAACCTAGCCCCCAGTGTTTCGTCCAATGACTGAACCCTCTCCCAACCCTGATTTTTAAACCTTTTAAATTCTGAACCTTAAACACAACTCTATCACTTTGTATTACATCAATTTTTTTAATCTCCCTCTCACACTGAATTGTTTCTTGAAAGCAGAGATAAATAAAGATGGTAACAACACACGAAACTAACAACAGACATGCAAATTTACCTAAGAGACAAGAAACCGGACCAGTGTCTATGGAACAAATTTATAGAAAGAACCGAAAAATGATCATTCTGTGCCCAAACTAATTTAATGCAATAATGGTTTATTCATTTTACTTTTTTATTCTTCTACTTTTAAAAAAAAAATACATTAGCCCTGGCTGGTGTGGCTCAGTTGGTTGGATGTCATCCTGTGCACCAAAAGGTTGCTGGTTCGATTCCCAGTCAGGACACATGCCTGGGTTTTGCACTGGATCCCAGGTAGGGGGCATGCAGGAGGCAGCCAATCTATGTTTCGTTTCGCTCTCACACCGATGTTTCTCTCTTCTCCCTTCCTCGCTCTCTAAAAATAAATAAACTATTTTTTAAAAAAATAAAATAAAAAATACATTAGCCCAATGAAAATTTACATGAGCAGGTCAAGAACCTTATACTTGAACACTCTCTGTGGCATTAAAGTAGTTGTGGAGGAATAAGGGATTCATATTGGGTCTTGAAAATTGTTTTGGCCCAAAGCTGAAATGCAAGCTGGGCTGCGTGAACTTCAGTCAAAACTTCCATGTAGCGAAGGAGAGTTTTGCCACCTAAGCTGCCTTTAGGGATATTAACTTTAAGTTGGTCATCAAGAAAAGACACAAAGCACCTTTGACCCTCCCTGGCTTTCCTGCCCTAAGAGACTGGGATGGAAAAGCTTGCTTCAGGAAGACCCCATTGTTTTCTGGGTAGCCTAGCAAAAATGTACATGTTGTGTTCTTCCTTAATTACCTGCAAATCGCTCATTCTCACTTTTAAAATCTAAGATTCCACCCCTCCCCCTCTCCTTTGTCCAAAATGACAAATATACCACTGTCTCACTGTCTTTGAGAATTTCATGCGTATGTGAATTCCCTGTTCACGTGCACTAACATGTTTATTTTTTGCTCGGCCAGTGTGGCTCAGTAGTTGAGCATCGACCCATGAACCAGGAGGCCAGGGTTCAATTCCCAGTCAGGACACATGCCAGGGTTTTGGGCTGGATCCCCGGCGGGGGGTATGCAGGAGGCAGGGGATCGATGATTCTCTCCCATCATTTATGTTTCTCTCTCCCTCTCCCTACCTCTCCCTGAAATCAATTTTAAAAATGTTTATTTTCTCCTATTAATCTGATTCAGATGGGAAAATTTAGAAGATGGGAGGGAAAATATTATTCTATAGTTCATATTATAGCCCCCACAACTTCAAAGTCGAATCTGGGTGAAGGCATGTTGTTCCTTAGAGAGAAATGGCGGTAACTCAAATGCAAGTACATTTACGAAGGGAGAGGTGTTCACTGACGATTCCACCATGGGAACCACCGCATGAGCAACCAGCTAGGGTCTTAATCATATCTTGGAGAAGTCTCTATTATCAGGTGATGACGAAAGTAATACATTCTCGAATTCTAAAGCTACGTGGGCCCTTATTGGACCAGAAAAAGTGTGGCTTGTCGGGTGGCTGGCCTACAAAACACTATTTAACACGAAGAAGGCGAATTTCCCTGGGCTGGAAGGCGATTACAAACAGCTCCTTTATTGAGGTCAGTGAACCAAGTCTTCCATGTTCCTTTCTGAAGCCAAGATGCCATGTTTATCACATACCAAAAATGTCCTCTTTAACAACTAGAAAGATGGTTCTGAGCGGGGCGGAAAACCTAATCTCAATATACCCAAAAAATTAAGAAACCCGTCCCAGGGCAGTGAAAGGCCGACTTCGCTAGCACCTCTCCTGTGAGGCCTGGAGACAGGCCCACGCAGGGCGACCTCGCTTTGCTCCCGGGGAGAAGCCCGGAAAGCGGGGCGACGTCTTAAGGGAGTCGGCCCGGGGGAGCGGCCAGGGGATGCTGTCAGTCTGCACAACTCCGGAGGCTCAAAAAAGAGGTCAGCGAAGGGGCAAGCGGGGCGGCGGCGGCAGGGGAGGGGCTGCGCGAGAATGTCACAGACGGCGCGGCGGCGACAGGTCATGGAGCGGCCTCCCCCACCCGGCCCTGGGCCCCAGTCACTCACATGCGGGGCCCGCGCCCCTCGGGCTCCTCCCGCCTCGGGGACAGCTGCCGCCGGGCGAGAAAGAGAAGCCGAGAACTTCCTGCTTCCGGCGCGCAACCCGGAAGCGACTCCCAAGCTACCGGCGCGGCCGCACGCCTAGAGTCGCTCCTTCTCCACTGCCCAGCTTCGCCAAACGCAGAACGCATGACGTCAGATGCTCGCGGTCACTCTCGCGAGATCTGGAGAGCGGGGTTCTCGCTCCCCCTGGCGTTCAGTTCTTCCTCCTCCATGCTTTGCGGCTGCACTGACACAGACTAAGTGCCTGAACGGATTCGTTCAACAAGCATTTGTGAGCCCTCTCCTGCGTGCCAGGCAGAGTGATGGGCACTAAGGGTGAGTGTGGGAGGGATGAGTAAATGGAGGGCAGGCCCTTACCTCCGGAGCTTCTTGTCTAAACGAGAGAAGGACAAATAGGAAACTCAAATTTACACCTGGCCCACTCAATTTTTTAAAATTTTATTTTAGAGAGAGGAAGGGAGAGAGCCAGAGAAACACCCGATGTGAGAGAGAATCATCAATTGGTTGCCTTCTGCACGCGTCCTGACCGGGGTCGAACCGCCACCAACTGAGCCACACCCGCCAGGGCTCAATACTTTTTGAGTCTTTTCTGCCAGACATAACCAAGCACTTTATATTCGGGAAACCGCCCCAACAACCCTATGACACAAATAGCCCCACAACATTTATCCTCGCACCAACCAAGCTGGAGTTTACGAAAAGGTTAACCTGCTGGGATTACTATATAAAGAGCGGTGGGGTCATGATTTGAACTCGGGCTCCTTATCTTGCCCTGTTTTTAGTGCCAAAGAGCTTAACTGCTTTCTCCAAGAGATCTGCCAACAAAATGCCACCGGATTCACACTAAGGAAGCCACAGGTACCAAGGCTGTGTGATACTGATGCAGGAATAGGCAAACCAATTAAACAGAACAGAAACCCAAACCACTCATATATAGACACTTTATGAAAAAGAGGTATAAGAGGGGAGTGAGGAAAGGATAATGCTTTCAATAAATACTACTGGGTCAGCTGTATATCCATGTAGGAAAAAATGAAACTTGACTCTTACTTTACATGATACAGCAAAATAAATTCTATGTGCATTGTAGATCTAAGGCAAAACAATGAAACTTTAAAGCTGCTCTGTCCAATACTGTCACTGTGCAAGTGACTACTGAATACCTAAATGTGGCTTGTCGGCATTGAGGTGTTCTACAAGAGATAAAATTGATACATTGGACTGCATTAAAATTAGAAACCTCTGATCATCAAAAGACATAATGAAGAGAATGAAAAACAAGTTGTAGCGTAAAAGAAACAAGCTTGTATCCAGGATATAAAAAGAACCCCCCCCCCAAAAAAAAAGAAAGAGAGAAAAAAGAGCCAAATAGAAAAATGGACAGAAGATTTGAACACAAAAAGATATCACAAAAGAGGATATCTAAATGGCAAATACACATATGAAAAAGTGTTCAACTTCCTTAATCATTAATGGTTAGGCAAATGATTACTGAGATATACAAGCTCCAGAATTGCTTAAGTGAAAAAGACTGGCAACATTAAGTGTTGACAAGGAAGCAAAGCAACAGCAACTCACACACTGGTAGGAATGTAAATTGCTACAGCCATCTTGGAAAACAAATTAGTGTTAATAATAAATTATAATATAAACATAACCTATTATCCAGCAATTCTAATTCTAGGTATATACCCCCCAAATTCATGTACAAAGTTGCACACAAGAATATTGGCCCTGCCCGTAGCTTAGTTTTTAGAGCATTGTCCCCATACTCTAAGGTTTCAGGTTCAATCCCTGGTCAGGACACATACAAGAATCAACTAATGGCCCTGGCCCGTGTGGCTAAGTGGTTGGAGCATCAGCCCATGCACTGAAGGGCCTCAGGTTTTATTCCCAGTCAAGGGCATTTACCTGGGTTGCAGGCTTGCTTACCACCTCTGGTCAGGACGTATGCGGAAGGCAGTCAGTAGCAACCAGTCTATGTGTCTCTCTCTCTCTCTCTCCCCGTCCCTTCCTCCCTTCTACTCTGAAAAAGTAATGGAAAAAATATCCTCAGGTGATGATTTTTGAACAACAAAAAAGAATCAACCAATGAATGCATAAATAAATAGAAGCACAAATCGATGTTTCTCTCTCCCTTCTCTCTCTCAAAACAATCAATAAAAAATTTTAAAAGAATATTAACAGCATCATTATTTGTAACAGGTACAATATGGAAACATCCCAAATGCCCATTACCAATAGAATAATACACTGCAGTATATTCCTCCAACAGAACACTACACAGCATTGAAAATATATCTCACAAATATGTTAAACAAAAGAAGCCAGATATAAAAACACTTTATGACTCCATTTATATAAATTTCCAAAACTAATCTATGAATTTAGAACTCAGAAAGTGGCTAATTACCTTCGGGGATGGGGAGGGGCACTGATTGATGGGGGTGCTTCTGTGGAGCTGGAAACAGGTGTTTTTTTTTCTTGATTTGATGGTGGTTACACAGGTGGGTTTGTTTTGTGATATTTAATTGAACTGCCACACTTAGTATCTGTCCACTTTTCTGGATGTATATTATACTTCAATTTAAATATTTACTTAAAAAATGTGCTCTGGGGAGTCCAGATGTCCTAAAAATCCCATGTCTTTCTGGCCCTTCCTGTCATTTTCTATACCACAGCCTGAGTGACACTTCCAAAAGACGCAGTAAACATTAGACACAATAAATGAAGTAAATACAAGCTACTCTGACTAATTTAACATGAACTATTAGTTATAACTCAAAAAAGGAACCTAGGCCTCTTTGTCGACTCCTTCCTGAAGTCACTGGCACCCAATGTTCCCTTAGGGACAAAAAGATCAACAAATAGGCTTTTAAAGAAGGATTTTGAAATGAGATAGCAAGACACTGTCTTATTCTTGTATAAAACTCCAAAGCATCTTCACTGTGCCCTAAGCCTCCCAAAATATATAGTAAGAAACTACAAAAGGTCCAGGAAAAGGCAACGCAGATAACAACAGACAAAACGGACAATAATAAAGCCTTTTCCTAATCCACTCATCTGCTGATGGGCACTTAGGCTGTTTCCAGATCTTAGCTCTGGTGAATTGTGCTGCTATGAACATAGGGGTGCATATATCCTTTCTGATTGGTGTTTCTAGCTTCTTGGGATATAGTCCTAGAAGTAGGATCACTGGGTCAAATGGGAGTTACATTTTAGTTTTTTGAGGAAACTCCAGGAAACTCCAAACTGTGGCTGTACCAGTCTGCATTCCCACCAGCAGTGCAAAAGGGTTCCTTTTTCTCCACATCCTCTTCAACACTTTTTTGTTGATTTGTTGATAGGGAAAGTAGGGGAGGAGGGTAAGGGGGAGAGATCAACCAAAGGACTTGTAGGCATGCATATAAGCCCAACCAATGGACACAGACAACAGGGGGGCAAGGGCATGAGTGGGAGTGGGGGGTTTATGGGGGGAATGAAGTCACATATGTAATACCTTAATAAAGAAATTAAAGATTGAAAAATAAATAAAAAAATAAAAAGCAAAAATAAAAAAATAAAGCCTTTTCCTTCCAGCTCAAGGGTTACAAAGAAGGCATGAACACAAGACCACAGGCAGTGTAAAACTAATTATACCTTACATTAGCATTGTTTTTTGTTTTGTTTTGACATTTTGTTTTGTTTTAATATTTTGATTGTTTTTTAAAGAAAGAGGAAGGGGGTAAAAATCTATTCATAATTGGTTGCCTTCTGCATGTCCCCTACTAGGGATTGAGCCCAAAACCGGGCATGGGCCCTGATGGGAATGGAACTGGCAACCTTATGCTGCACAGAGGACACCCAACCCACTGAGCTACACTGGCCAGGGCTAAAACAATGGTTTATGGCCATTATGCATCCAGTGAAACCTGAGCACCCTATGCTCAGTGCTCTGTGAGGAGGGCATCGAGATGTAGAAAGGCCAGTTCCTCTCTCACGGAACTCGCTGTCTAGTTTGATCTTTACACCCTGTATAACCTTATTCCTACTTGACAATTACGGAAACTTGGATTGAACTGTGGTTAGGGGCACAGGCTCACAGCTGTGGTACTTTGAGCAAGTTATTTATCTGTTTTCTCAAAGTAAAAAGGGAATAAATAGTAATATCTACCTCATAAGGTTTAAAAATATTTTTATTGATTTCAGAGAGGAAGGGAGAGAGAGAGAAAAACATCAATGATAAGAATCATTGATCGGTTGCCCCCTGCACACACCCCACACCAGTGATCAAGCCTGCAAGCTGGGCATGTGACTGACGCTCAACCACTTAGCCACACCAGCTGGGCATACCTCAGAGGGTTTTCAATATTAAATATTGTCAAAAGTTCAGAAATACTGGAAGTAAAACCACTGGATCAATGACATAATAATTAGCAAAAAAATGTATTGTGCACACACAAAAAACCAGTTGGCAAACTGGGAGCACTCAAATCAAACACAGAATGAGGCTCAGAAATACGTGGTTACAAAGTAGCTTACAAATAGATCCAGAGACATAGATGCAAGGAACAGACTGGTTGGGAAGAGAGCAAAGAACTTGTATGCATATATGCAAAACCTATGGTCACAGACTACAGTGTGGTGAAGGCCTGGAGGGTAGGGGCGGGCTAGAAGGGGTCACTGGGGGAAAATAGGAGACATATGTAATACTTCCAACAATAAAGATTAAATAATAAAGCAGCTTACATATTGAGGAGGCAATGGCTGCTGATTCTTCCCAGTGATTGGTTATAAAATTAGAGTTTTCCTAATGACAGAGAATGGGTTAAAAGTGGTTAGCTTACATCAATTTCGGGGAACAGTTTAAGTTCTGTTTATGATTTTCAGAGGCATTAACAAGAACTGGCCTAAGTTTTGCTTGTATGACTAAACTGGTGTGTCTGCTCAGGGAATTTTCAGTCTGGTCTCCATCTGTGTTGGATTTTAACGATGTTTAAAGTACCCCAAAGTGCTTAGCCCTAGGCTGGCCATCATTATCAAGGGCTGTGCAGAGCATTTACCATATGTTTATGTACCCCATTTATTTCTTGTCCTCTATCCAAACTTCCCTGCAGTGCCTCTATTTTGCTT